GACAGACGTGGCGAGAAGAAGGATGAACCTACTTCAGTCAGGTGAGCAGGACGAGGGGGAGGTGAGTCCGCTCTTTCAAAATGGACGGAGGTGAGAAAAGGAAAAAAGAGACTCGTAGGGAAGCCCCGGTAATTTAAGCAGCGTAACTGCCTCGACAGATAGAGAGACGCCGAGTGTCTTCTTCTCTCGTTGTCTGGCGATTAGCAGGACAAGTTTCACACGAAAATCTGTCCTCGTCCCTCGTATGGCGCGATTGCAAGTACAAGAGTAAAGTATACTTGAACTAGTATACTTAAGCGCTTGTTTCTCTGAGAAATATGGAAATGCGTTACACAGAAAGAATGCTTTCATCGCGATTAATCTTATTGTAACTTTCGTTATCCCGCGCATCGGTTTGTTATACAAACGCGTGACGGACGTCTATCGACTTATTAAAATTTTTCCGTGTTTACTCCGTAATCTTATGCGATTTATAACAATGATTTCTCGCGTCTTTCGCACCCCCGATTACCTCCTCCCCTCACTTTCCCGTCCTCCCCCTGTGCCGCTCTATGAGAAAGGGATAGGGCGGGAAGTTAACCGCAGTGGACGCGTGGCTACGCATCGGCCGTCCACCCTCGTGGTGTCTCTCCTGCCCCGATGGATCACCCCTCGCCGGATCGGCGCATCGCGCATCGGGGGCGCAACGAGGATGATGTGCAATCTATCGAAAGATATTCATGGGGCTGGCCGTTGGCCCCCGTGCTCACGTCCCCGTCAGCCATAACCGTCGCGTCACGAATGTCTTATTGATTGCACCCCTGCGAACAGAGACGGACAGACGCGGAGGCAGACGGGCAGAAAGAGAGAGAGGGTGCCGGGGTTGTGATGAGGGATGACTGGAACACGTTGCGGGAGGGGAGGGGATTGGGAGGGGGAGGGAGGGCAGTTGTGGCGGAAGGGTATGGGACAGGACGCTATATCAAGCCGACCGGCTTGAAATAACGCGGGAGGAAGGGGATGTAGCGTCCGGAAACGGCGAATATGCGTTTTGGATCACCGGCGGATATCCACGGGAGGGTTGTCGCGTTGTCACTCGGTTCGTTTCTTCTCGCTCTTCGCTCTTAAACGCGCCGTGACTTCGGCGAACGAGATGAAAATCTGTATTTATTTGATACGTCACTTGACGTACGATAAAGACACGTATACGTTTAGATTTGATGATATATCACGAATGTCTCTATGTCGGCTAGATTGACAAACACGGCATATATAGGTATATTTCGTAAAATTTTTGGCAAACGGTTCTCTGCCGTGGGAGATTTCTGTTTAGCAAAAATTAAACGGTCGCCGCCCCAGATCTCTCGTCCACTGACAGAATTTGCTCGTTATGGCGGTCCATTGTCTTCGGCGTTTCGATGGTGAACTGACCGCGGCTTGATTTCTCCCTCTATGGTCCCGGCTCGTACACCGGTAATTGTATACATAGGTGACACGGTCAGATTATTGAATGAACGCTTTTGTGGGCTCGCCATGACCACACCATGAGACAGAGTGCCACAAGCGGTGGAACGGTCGGTAGAGAGTCATGGGACCATGACTGCACGAGAGAGGCGACCGTGGCATTCGATGTACTCATACCGCGTCTCATTGTGCCCCACTTGACTTTGTTGTCGGGGCCCCTTTGTGCCCGTTCCGTTCTCTATCTGCCTTGCTCTCTTCTCCCTTCGCTCATACCTCGTTTTACCGCATTTCTGCACCAGCCCGCACGCACTTACGCGAGCGTGTTTCTACGCCGTGTTAATTATTTGTTTTGTTCGCCGTAATCATCACAAAGGATCTCGTAAGCTTGTCCATCTAAGAATCGTTGATTTGCAGGCATGGCTTTATAAAATGAAGCTCTGCATGCAATAGCTAACTATTCAATGTACACTATTCAGTCATTTGTAATATTTTTTCATAATTTTTTAAAGCATGAAGAAATCTAAAGTTTTATTAAATTAAGATAATTATGCGCAAATATTAGACAATGTCAAAAATCTATATTTATTAGCTTATATTTCGTTGATCCATTGAGCAATCCGCACACACACACATACACACACACACACACGCGCGCGCGCGCGCGCACGCACACACATACACATATATATAACACATATATACTCATATATAAATAAAAGAATGTTTGAAGATTCTAATATGTAAACAATCATAAGAAATTTAGATCATTTCTATTACATAAATCATATTGCAGTATGCAGACAGTTAACAGGAATAAAAATATGAATGAAGATTATTAGTTCTATTCACGTTATCGAACAGAAGTAGCCCTATGCGATCGTCTTACAGGGGTTGCGGAACGTAACCGCGTTGCTAATCCGACGCATAGTTTATACGTCATTAAACCTCGCTCGAGGGTGGCCGCGCGAGGAGCGGGAGGGTGGCACGCGTGGAATTCGCGGACGTCACGACGTATATTGCCGCCCGCGGCTATATATGTGTATGTGTGTGGCTTTTCTACGATAGCGGGGGTTGGACGCGGCGATTCGTTGGTGATGCTCGACCGTGGCAACCCTCGAGGGAGAGCTGTCACGTCGAATCATCCCCCGGAGATATGACAACGGCCTTCTACGGCCAGAGGGTGATGTCGTCGCCGTCATTGGCGGCGGCGGTCGACCCCGAAATCGAGATTAAATATCTGCCCGTTGCGACCACGTCTCGTTCCTTCATCCCTCATAGCGTGAAGCGACACTCCAACGGAGACTTTTAAGGGTGCGCGAAATATGGTTTATTGAAAAAGAGGATGGTAATGGAAAAGTATCTTCGATGATAGAAACCACACGAATAAAAAAAAAACTGTTTCGACAAAAACTGAATGTTTCATCAAATGATGTTTACAACTTGCGCTTCTAAAGTCAACTTTTAGAATTCAATTCATTGTGGATCTTTCACCTTCAACCTTTATAATTTAAAGACTGTTATAATAAATTTTTATTAAACAATCGACTGCAAACTATACTGGAATCTGTCATTTAATCCTCTCATTCAGTGTAAAGAGTGACACACATGCTGGGTGTAACATAATTTATTACGTTATAATACCTCGCACCTGATGTTTCCACATCGTTTCATCGGCGTTAGCAATGGGGGATGGTCTCGGTATTTTGTGAGGGCGGGAGGTAAGAGGAGGAAGAACGCTCATAGACGGAAGGTGGTACGGGAGGACGGGAGACTGAGCGAGGAAGACCGTGCAAAGGGCATCATTCTAATTGCCCCGGACTTCCTTTCATCCCCTTTGTGTGACCCTGGGGCGCGCTTCCTCGTCTACTCCTCTCCCCTCTCGGGCATCTCCCACCGCCTCATCTTTCCCCCGTGCCGGCAGCTCTAAGTCATTTCTGCGATTAATTTTTCCTTCCAATTTGCACGCGGCAGTAATTAAGGGGTTGGGGCGCGGTACATCATCCGGCGCTTCCACCGATGTCGGGGCCAGGGGGTTGGTTTTAGTGCTCGCGGTCCGGACTCCTTCGAAACAATGGCGAGTATCTTGAGTGCCGGGTTCGCGTTCCGAAGCAGAGCTCGTAAAATTTCAACGAATAAGGCAAGCGCTACCGTCTATTTTCTCGTCGTTGTTATCGTGCTGCATTATTTAACAAAATGCGCGATAAAAACGTTATCTCTTACAAGTAAATCTTACAAGAGAACGAGAAACATTCCGCATTCAATCATTTTCCACAAAATCAAAGGACACACGAAAATATTGTCGGTGTCCTTGAAATGTTGTCTTTGAAATCTGTTATTTTCAAATCTATTATAGATACAAAATATATCTCTGAAGTCTGTTTGCTCATACATTATAGACAATAGATATAATTGGATCAGAAGTAAGGGAAAAATCTATTGCGACCAGTTCGAGTGATTAGTCTGTGGAATATAGTGTCATGGTAGTGAACAGTTAATATCAGTGTTAGTGCGCTCCTCTTATCCGCTACTCATTGCCGCCATCTTGTGTGTTTGTCCTGTTTTCGATTTTACTCCCTCAGTATTATGCTGCATCAGGTATCTCGTGTCATTCTCGTAATTTGTATTATTGAAACAGCTTAAAATATAGAGAAATGTTATAATGTATATTTATTTATTTATCTCTGTGAATGATGATTACTGAGTTTTAACTCTTAATGATAAAGTACTTTAATCTGTTTATTAATTGTTGAAAACGTTAGTAAAGTATCTTAGAATATATTGAGTATTTTTTTTAAAGAAATTTTCTTAAAGAGAATTAAATCTCTAAAAAAAATAAAATTAAGGTTTGGTAAAATAATTAGAGTAGCATTCTTAAATGAACATTAGTTTTTTAAATTATAAGTGTTATCCGTGATAACATATTGGCTTCAGTGTTAAAAGAGATCGACGAGTTTTGGATTATACAGCGTGAATTTAATGAACGCGGGAGAGAGAAAGAGTAGAATTGGTTGAGGACAGTAAAAGGAAACTTAGTCGGCAAGTGCGGGGATTGAATCTCTTTATCTCTCTCTCTCTTTCTCTCTATTCCTGTTTCTGTCTTCCTTCGTGTGTTCGTTCGATCGTCCGGTCTATCGGACGGCTGGTTGGCTCCGGCTGAGTTTGCTGCATCGAAACATATAACTCCACGGGAGGAGGGCAATAATAGATCCCACAATGCCACGCGAGCTTTTCAGGGCCCGTCCGGGGTTAGCGCGAGTCGAAGGCTGATACTGGGGTGGTATGCCTGCTGCAACGAGCGGCGAGTGCACCTTCCGCCAGCGGGCGACGGGAAGCGAGGTAGCTCATCAACTAATGGCCCGCACCGGAACCGAACTGCATTCTCCTACGAACTCGTCTGTACTCGCACGGATGCACGTGCAACTGCCGCGTTTCTCCGTGCAGTTACGTCGGCCGGGCAATCTCGGCGCGACTCGTCCGTCTGAGTTACGTTCGCATTTCACTTGTGTCTCGAACGCATGACTTCTTCTCGTGCTAATTACCCGAAAGATAATCGCTTCTTTTTCTTTTTTTAGGAAGATCTATTTAAAATTTATTAGTATTCTTTCGAACTAATTTTACAAAGCTTACTACTTAATTAAGAAACTTGTAAACGTTACATTACCCCGTTATAATTATCTCATATGTATACAATATGGCGCACTAAGATGCTACCGTGTCTTTTGATTTATCAAGAAGGTTCTCACATTAGACCAATCAGAGGTTCTCATATTATCGATGCGATCGTGGCGAGAAGTATTCCGTGATTTCTCACTAATTTAAAACTAGCGAATTATAAGAAGAATGGCCTGCGCGTTCAGGCGGAAGGAAGCATTCGCATAAATCCACCCCACTCCGATAGCGCCAAAACCGCTCTACAACGGGGATCCATGAATATTGATCAGCTTCGTTCGCGTACAAAGTCTCTCTCTCTCTCTCTCTCGATTCGCTTCTTGTCCTTTTACAATTCAACCATTATATTTAGCTTTGTAACGTAACTATTATTGCGAGATAGTCCGGAAGGATTCCGTTAATAAACGACATGGGATTTTACGTTAACAGACTGGAAAGCTATCTGAACTTCATTTTTCTTCGCGGCGGATAGAAATAGATGGTCGCGAATAAGATTAGATATTTTTTTAATAGGTACTTTTTAATACTCACGAAAATCTCACGAGAGATCTATGCTAGATTTAGATTTAATTAAAAGCTAAACAATTTCTCTTTGCTATGTTTACTTTTGCCTGACAATCTCTCTCGTGTACATTAACCTTTGTATACAGTAGGAAAATGTTTATCTTTACTTTACAATAACATAGTTTATATTGAGCATAATCCTACTGAGTGCAGTTAATGAATCGCTTTGTATTATCGTTGCCTTATTGCCGAAGCTCCGCGATTTTGTTGAATAACACTTTTAATTAAACTCTTTGTATATCTTTTTTGAATCTAAAAATTAGATCAATGAATTTCTTTTCCGACTGTTATGAAAGGAGGATGAGAGGAGGAAGTTGAACGCGACAAAATATCTCTTACTTTCGTTTTTATCTACCAGACGTGTGTTTAATAAGTGTCCTAATTTACCACCCTCGAATCAATATCACTGTTAACGTTGTAAATTATTATACCTACAAGTCATCGCGTCGGTCTTGTACACACTTCACGGAAAGAGATACATCGTACCGTAACACACAAATATTTGCCTAGTCGGTTTCGGCCCGGGTGGAACCCTTTCGCCGTGAAACTTTAAACGGACGATCGGGGTTAGGGCCGAGGAGTTTTTAACGCTTCGAGAGTTGCCATGGCAACAATGGCAGGCCGTTATTAATCCCCGTCGAGAGTGATGAAGAATGGTGGAACGTGGAGGAGAGAGGAAGAAGAGACGGACGGACAGACCGACTGACTCTCCCTCGCCCTCCTCGGTAGCTTCTGATCCTCTCATTTTCCCTCCCTCCTTCGTCACTTCGTCTCGCGTTTGCCGATGCTCGCCCCGTCCTTCGGCTTGCAAGAAGATGCGAGGGCATTCCTTCCGTTCATTTCTCTTTCCGAAAGATTCGCGGCGAGAGAAAGAAAGGGAAGATGTGGCTTCCCGGAGGTTTAGGAAAAGGTTCCATCGTTATACTGTTCGATCCTTCCTCTCTTTCTTTTTTCTTTCTCTAACTTCCTCTTATATCTTCCTTTTCCCACCGATGTCGCAAATTTCGTCACCGCGTTTTCTTTTTATTATTTTTTCGTCATTTAAATATTTTCTAAATCGTCAATATCAAAAGTTATTTTTTGCGAAAGAAGCGAAATATATATCATCTTTATTTTTACCGTATATTATTGTTTTTATTGATCGGATATATCGTCGTTGTTATTGATCCGATATTTGAAAAATGACAAGTTTCAATTTTATAGCACATTTTTACCCCTTCCCTTTGGGGAATATTTCCGATTAGCTGTCACCATGAGCAGGCGGAGGAATGCGCGTACAAATTTAATGCGTGAAAGAAAAAAGGAAGAAAAAAAAAAGAGATCAGACGACGTCCATCGTGGCGGAAAACTCGTCGGAGGACACCGCGTCCACGGGATGAGAAGGCGTATCTCTCTCTCCTCAAATATTCATGACGCATGTACGTCGGACGTACGTACGCAGTCCGGCCTCGCCATCGCGGCGTACGCGCACAGGCGCGGCGTAGACACACCGGCGCACTCACACTCAGCAGCAAGTTTCTCTGCCTTTTTTTCGTCGTATATCGCGCCGTTTCCGGTATCGATGCATCGGTCTCGTCGCCGCGCCGAGAGCGGAGGAGCTCTCTCTCGCCAGGCACGAGCTTTGTTTTCGAAACGTACGAGCCACTCACACGAACGCGCCCTCGGACACGCACACGTGCACGTGCACGTCTACGTGCCCGAGAGCGTGCGGGCGTGTGCAACACACACGCGTGTATCGAGCTGCGATAGCCGACGCGTGTGTGTGGTCCGGACTGACGTGCGCTCGCGAGCCGCGCGCTTGGTTGGAAAAAGAGAAGAATCGAAAGTCGAAGGTTCCGCGCCTCGTTATTCATCGACATTCGGCTCCGCCTGTCAGAAGGCATTATTTACGGTTTCGCGGGAGAACGAACTTTTTAATTCGAGTCGGTGCAGGTGGTAAATGCACGTCGGCCGCGCGAGCGAGCAGCGTGAGCCATCGCTCTCGCGGATTCCTATCGGCCGAGAGCGACGAGAGTGATTTTTCGGGCTTTGATCGTTCCGGCGAAACGATTGAATCGAGCACCGGCGTACTTTGTTAATCGGACAGATTGTAGCCATTAGCCGAAATAGAGTTTTTCGAATTGAAAACTAGCCAAATAGATGATATTGAAGAGAGATAAATATTTAACGGGATGTATCCCTTAATTCGTTCACATAATAGCACGCGCGCGCGCGCGCGATTGTTTGGAAGATGCCAAAATTTTTACGAAAGTAAAATTTTTTTATCTACTTACTTGCATGTTCAGTTAATACTTGATTTCGCAGTGTGTGTGCGAATATTATATATTTTTGTTAATTTCACATGAGAACTTACGATATCGTGATCTTTATTTCGATTATTGTGAACGGTCGTTATAATGTGAAAAGACGTGTTGCATGACCACGAGACACGTTCTCGCGAGCCGATGTAACATTGATGTAATAGCGAGACAAAGTCGGCCGAGGCATGACGCGAATAGAATTTCATTTCCTCTCCCATAGAAGAAGAGATGCAACAAAGTCTATCGTATATGTATACGCGCTTAACAGATAAACGATGAATGCGCCCCAGTGATCGGAACGCGCGATAATGGACATATAACTGCGAGTTTATCCAAAGTACTGAATCGGAAAAATTCTTTTTCAAATAATTATCGCTCGGCACATTCTGCCAGCGAAAAATAAAACTAATCGACTGCATCACTGCGTTTTATTGATCGACAGTACGGGTATATAGTAACAACCGCGACGTTATTAGACAGACTGTTAATTCCAATTTGAACGCGAGAACGTCAAAATGGTATAATATAATCATCTCCGCACTTTGAAATTATGTTTAGCTTTTTTTTTGTTTCGCATCATATTAATTACATGCTGAAATTCTTTACATACAATGTACAATTATAAACTTATTTTGAAGTAAATTTCGAAATTTACTTTGTTATGTATATAATTACATTATATTTAAACCGCTGAAACGCACAGCGATATTCCGTAAATCACGAAGTCGTACCTACCGGCATTACTTTTTCGCTGATTGCTCGAAGCACGGGCGCGATTTTCGTAGGAAGTATCAGCGGGAGAGACGTAGGGAGGGAAAAGTATCAACGCTTTCAAACGCGGAAGACGTATTCGACGGCCGCAGAGCACTCTCGAGATGAAGCACGAAGTAACGCTGATCTAATAACGGGACAAACGTCGCGCGAATCGCGTCCCGGACGGGATTTCATTTCCTCTGCCGTAGGAGAAATGAGGCGACGCAAGGCGGGAACGAGAGAGGAAATGGAGGAAGAGAGAGAATCGATCGCCACTGTATATCCGTGCTCGTCTTCCGATACCGGTGTCTGCAGCTACTTGTCGAACAAAGCGCCTCGAGTAAGAATTTTAGCGGAGACAAACCGTTTCTGTGTCTCCGAAATGTACATTCGTGAAAATTCCCGGAATATCATCGGATTTCATATTAATGCTAAAAGTACGTAATACCGAGGCGTGGTCCGCGAGATAAAAAACTGATTCTTTGTGCATCGAGCTTTTTTTTTTGTACCACGGCACTACAGCCTCGTGGAGCGGAATTAACGCTATAGCGCGAGAGCGTTTCGAATTGCGCGAATGATTTGATCCTGAGCACGATACCGCCGCGGTGAATAACTCTTTGGCATTTGCTCGTGAGAACACGGTGCATTAGGATTTCTCGATAGGCACGGGGGTGCAAGCGAGACAGAACCGGATTTAACGGACGAACGAGGGCGCCGAGCGTCACACCGCCGGAAGTGCGTCTAATGCGTCCGTCTGGGGTCACGCGTCATCCCGCTTCCGGCACGACCATTACCTTCGGTAAAACATTTCGTTTCGCAGAAGGGAAGGAACCGCCTACGCATTGTTTGCTCTGTCTCTCTCTTCATACTTGGCCGAGCTCGGGGAATTATGTTGTTAAATGTGAGATACAAATTATTCAAGTTGCTTAACATCTTGTCGAAAGAGAAATTCAAGTGATGCCTATATAATGATGGTGAATAGATAGTGATAGATGGGAATAAAATCGGCTTGCTATATCTATGCTTATTAAGCTGTGCTGTACGTTAACTTATACATATATACACCCACATAAAATTGAAAAAAAAAAAAAAAAGAAATATATATATTTTAAAGTTGAAAATTAAGAAAAACAAAAAATCCATCAAAAGTTTAAGTAAAAAGTTTAAATTGGTGCTATTATATATATGTAACAACATTGATTTTTTTTTACCTTTATTAGATCGTTGCTTTCGATTTTTAAATATGCATGTGAGCGTGAAAATTTCTTGAAACAAAAAACTACCACGTGTTGTTTCTCCTATGCGACAATGAAACAATATACGCGAGAGCGGGAACACTTGCTAATTTTTCAAATCTAACATCACGGCCGCCGATCAATGACCCTCGATTACAAGCGTAACAATGGCCGTTGTTTGTACCTAGATGTTCTGAATGAAGGGGAAGAAATTAAAATTCATCGCTTGGCTCGAAAGGCATCGATCCGTTTTTTATTTCCTCGAACAGAACGAAGCATCGTCGCGTTTCATGCCATCCCACCCTTTCTCAATGTCAGATAGCAAAATGCAACGAGATGCAAAATAGCTCAAGTAATTTATTTCGTATTTTACAGACTCTATATATCTCTTGCTAGTTTTTGATTGAGAATGATCTATTAAACTAAATAAAATAGAAGGATTGATATTTGATTTTTATTTTAAGTTATTTAATTTTTTTCTTTGTTTGCATCTAATTTATAATTTTTTGTCATGTGTGAAAAGATTTAGAACAGTTTAAAAATTGTATATCACATCTGATATTCGAGAAAAGGTAGGCAAGTTTTGTAACGGAGAAGAAAAGAATGGTGGATGCGTCGAAAGAAAGATTAGCTCGAGGGAGTGAGCCAATGGAAACAGGAGCCCTTACCATCCAGATTGGCCGACGTATTGTTTTAAGGCAGGCTCGGCGCATGCGTGATCCCGTGCGTAGGAGGACCGGCCACGGTTCACGGCCTATGTTCCGATAAACATCCCGTCGCGATTTTCTGAAGTGTGCCGATTGCGGAGTACCCGTTTATTCAAAAACTTTAACGTGTAGCGTTCGCAGGGTGGTATATATTGCATATATATTGTATATATTGTAACCGACTAAAAAGTCAGAAATTAGCTTTGAATAAATTTTCAAATTTTAGATATATTTGCGATTGATGTAAATATTATTTTGAAATATTCTACTTTGGTGTTTTTATTTTGATGGTCACACGGAAAGAACAATTTTGCTGAATTCAGATCTGAAAATAATTTTTGTTCAATAATCAAAATAATTTTGTGCAAAAGTCAAAGTGATTGCTAAAATATCAAAATGTTTTATAGAGATTCTTATCAGCTTTAACATTCCAACAAATTATTTTGATGATCCAACAAAAAATTATTTTCAGATCTGTTTTTAGCAAAATTTTTAGACCTTTCAATAAAATCGTTCTTTCCGTGCATGGTCGAAATTTAGCTGACAACATAAGTGTGGCTTAAAAATGTAACGTGATGCGAAACAATATAGTAAATTTTCTTTTTTTGAAAGTTTTATGGAGTAAAATTCGAGA